ACACGTTATTACATTATCTCTAATACTATGATTTTATTGTAATCTCACACATCCACCTGAACATTTTCATCTCGGTGCCATTAACTCATAGTAGGTGGATGTTATTTTTTAGCTGTCAACATTCTGACCCAAAAAACAAAACTAACTTTAAAACTATACATTTATTTAATCCAAATATGATCACAAAAGACTCTTAATGCCCCTCTCTATTTTAGCTATCATGCTCTAACTCTATGAACAATATCTTCACTGATTCCCCCTCTTGAATGATAGATCAAATATATTTAAATTTTCTATTTCAGGGAATTTCTAATCCATCTATTTTTAAAATACCATTGGTTCTTTCCATAACATTCGTAAAGTTGCATTGGACATTCATTCCTAACCTTGTTTAACTAAAACTTTAGTATTCTTAGGTTTGTTCCCATAAACTTAAACCTAGATGCAACAAGGCCATCGTCAATAGGGTATATCATCAAAGAACAACATGAACCATGAAAACTTAGCGCAAATAAGCTTAATAACTTTGTTCATTACTAGTCCTAAACACTCTTTTTATCCATTAGAGACTGATCCAATGTATATATCTTTTAATACTTTTAAATAACCACTAAATAACCCTTTTCTTTCTATAACATGGTGCTATATTTCTGCAACTCTGACAGAGTCCTTTTCTTAGTCATTGTACATTAGCAAGTTTATAACCACTAATATTTCTCTATACTTTTTAATACTTTTATGTAAAACTTTTTTCTTTCTACAACATCATCCTACATTTCTTTCTACTCTATATGCATTTCAATTAATTATCTCAACAAATAAATGCCATTTGTTTAAACATCCAGATATAATTGAACCAAGTTATAGAGATACTCATCTCATATCTAGTCCTTACTCAGCTGTCCTCTCATATAGTATCAGAGAATTGCTTATTAACTTAGCTTTTCACAGATAGGTATTGCAAAAGAAGAAATAGCACAAACTTGCTGGATGCTAGTAATTTGTGCCCAAGAAGAAAAAACTTAAACTAGTTCAAAACTCTCAATCCAACTATTGTAGTATTTCTGGAAGTCTTAACCTACATGCATATCAAGCTACTAAGTACTAACACTGCATACAAATAGAACTATCTGCTTTTTTTTTGGTAATAAAAAGAACTTTAAGTGCAATTGTGAAAAACAGCATATAAAAATTATAACATCATTTGCTTGACAATAAACTGGGATATTACCCCTCCTCAAGGCTTTCAAATTCAAGAGTTGCTTTATCTGTCTCTATTTCACATAAAACATCACCTACTTCAATCTGAATAAAAGATATAAGTTATTAGAATGAATCTGTCAAAGCAGTGGCAGGACAAACCAACAATTATCATAATATGATAGGCTCCTTAATAATTTTGTAAAGATGGCATCTCTAACCTTATCACCTTCGTTTTTCCTCCACCTTGCAATGTTACCTTGATTCTGAGAGAATAAGATTGAATCCTATCAATCCTCCTATCATGTTCTTAAGTATAAAAAATATAAATGGGACTGGATACATTCAAACAAGTGAAAATCTGTTCATGCATTACTCACCATTGTAGGGGACAGTGCTGGCATTCCAAGCACCATATGTGAAGGAAGTCCTGCATCAATAAAAATGATTAAATAAGAAGTATTTAAATTAGCCCCATGAGGTCCTATTGATTTACCTATCAATTCAAAAGGTAATGGTGAATGGATCAGCTGAACATCCCTCTCAAATTCCTTGTATAATTCATACTATTTGAGCATCTTCAAAATCTAAAGCAATAACCAAAAATACTGTACGGAGAGAGGTCATTCATTTGGGATGAGATGAGATATGAAAAGTTAAGTCGGAGGATAAAATTTCCATTCAGATAAGCTCCCTGATTAAAACCAGGGTCAACTAGATTCAGTTAGGCCGCCATTTAAGAAACAAAATGAGAGCTCCTTGAGCTTCAAAATTTATAGTTCAAGGACATAACTATTACGACTCAGTAGATAGAAGGTAACTCAAACAAAGGCATCCAACAGCCTATTGTACCTGTGGGAAAATCATAAACCAAAATGAAAACCATCACAAGTAACTCAAGTATTCACCTTATCTTATTTTTCTTCCTCATTTTGTTTAAGAAGCACTATTTGGAGAAGGGAATAGGGAAGTGCTTACGAGCTCATAAGTTTGAACCATAAATATTGTTGTCCAATCCAATTAAAACTTAATAGCTAGAAGGATTCAAATATCAATTTGTAACTAATACTGATCAAAATTGTACCAAAACTGATATTGGCTCATATTGTGTCAGTTTGGATCTGTACAAGCGTGACATCAATACCAAAATGGTCCTTTTTCTACATATTAGATCCCCATTTTTCGTAACGAGAAAGCCAGATGTCCAAAGATATCTGTAGCCAACTTGTATTGAGGAGGATTTCCAGTGCTGCTGCTGTTCTTGCATACCAACTTAGCTGCCCAGTGATCCCAATGCATGGCAATCAGTGCACCATAGGTTGACCCAAGCCAGTCCTCCTGTACTAAGGTTGCCTTGTTGTAGTTCTCTTAACACTAATACTAGATAGGAATCAAACTATTTAACGACGTTCTAAACCCAAATCGCGTACATGTTAGTCAGATTTTCTTCCCGTGTACATGTAACTTTTAGATGCTACTTTTGATTCTTATCTGACATATGTTTCAATTTGGTATTTTATAGTTTTCTAGATTAAAATCAATTTATTCTATACATTGACCAGCACTTACAGGTACTGATAGCAGCATCATGGCATCATCTAAAATAATAAATGGATCGTGTTGAGTCATAATGCATGTCAACAATATATTTATGTGACATCCAACTACACTAACACAAGGATATAAATGTAAAATCAACAAGGTAGTATCAGTATAGAGTAGTTCCATTTTGTAAAATAAGCATATACACTATCCGGTAAGAGCATGTCTACATTGAATTTCCACAAGAAGTCTGTTGTGTAACACCTGAAGATGCTGACAAGTCTGCTAAGATTCAATTGAACTATAGAAATCAGTTAAGATGCAACTAATTTCTAGAGAATAAAAAAATTTATATCATGATAAAGTTCATAAAGATCCCAACCTCGAATCCAATGGCTGATTAACAATCCCATTATGATCCAACTTATAAACAAATTATATTTTGGTAAAAGTTGGATTCAACTCCCAACTAACAACTACTTTGTTACAGTTATATAGTGTTTAGTTGAACTTCTAATAAAAAATAAAGTAATCATTTTTTTCATAAATACATAGCAGTGATTTAAAAACCGCTAGGCGCCAAGGTCCAAAAACGCCCGAGGCGCTCGCCCGAGCGAAGTGAGGCGCTAAAATATAAAAATATATAATATAATTAATAAATATAATTATTTAAAATTTTAAATAAAAATATGCTATTAAATTAAGAAAATCTAAGGTACAAAATCATAATGTCACATTAACAAAAAGTCTCAAAATTCAAAACAATAAAATTTTACATCAAAGTCATTCATCATAATCAATATTATCGTCATTTTCAAACAAATCATCTTCATTGAATTCGTCCTCTTCCTCTTGTCCTTCCTCTTCATCAAAATATGTTTCATTCTCTATGTCTTCAACAATAACAGGAGCCGAGCGTGATGCTTTTGCACTCATTTTTCTCTTTGTCATATGTTTTGTATATGTTTGTAATTCTCCAGCACCTGAAGCTCTTGCCACATCTCCTCATGTCAATCTATCATCTTCAAATACAAACTCGTCTTCGACATCTTGCAAGTTGGCACCCATTTCTCCCACCAACCATTCATTAGAATCATCAATATCTTGCAATGAGATTGGATCAATTCTATTTTGCAAATCACGGCGAGCCTTTAAAGCTTGATTATACTTTATGTAAACAAGATCGTGTAATCATTGATGTTCCAACCGATTTCTTCTCTTTGAGTCAATCTGTCATGTCATATAATTTAAAAATATATTAATACATCTATCTAAATTAATTAATTAATTAAAACAAAAATATTTAATGATCCTTACATGCTCAAAGGCACTCCAATTTCGCTCACAACCCGAAACACTACATGTCAAACTAAGTACTTTGATAGTAAATTGCTGTAAGTTCAGGGTAGAATTTCCATCTTTCGTCAATGATTGTAAAAATTTTCTCATATTTTTCTTCATTTTCATTAAAAGATATTTTAATCGTCTTCTTTGCTCTATCCATATCCTCATAAATATATCTTATTGCAGGCTTATTTTCATTATCCACCAACCGAAGGACTCGAACAAGAGGGCCCATTACCTTTAATATATAAACTACATGATTCCAAAACAATGGCATTAGATGATATCAGTAGCCCTCTTGCCTTTTGCTTCTTTTGCCTATTTGCTTGTCACCCATTTCTCAAAGGTAAACATGTTTCTCAGATTATGTTTTTGACGATGCACGCTCTGTAATGTCAAGAATGAAGTAGCAAATCGGGTGACACCATATCTTACTAATTATTTGTTCCCTGTGAATTCTCTCATCATATTCAAAGCCCCAATATGATTATAACGAAATCCAACAACAAAAATTACCCTTTCTAAGGTTTTCTTGATGTCTAAGATCTTTCCAATATCCTCCAACATTAAATTAATATAATGTGCCGCACATGGAGTCCAATATAAGTGGTCTTTTTGTTTCAAGCAATTTACTTGAGACAAAGGATAACAAAAATGATAAGACTTAAGAGTTTAACACATTTAATTGAAGATAAAATAATTAAAAAAATTAAAAAAATCAAAAGATGAATATTACTAGCTAATACATAGTTGCTTCCATTGTCGGTTATGATTTGAACGACATTTTGTTCTCCAATTTCTTCCACGAACTTGTCAAGTAAATTATATATCGTCTCCAGATTTTACAAAAGATGAAGCATCTATTGACTTCACAAACATAGTCCCTAAAGAATAGTTAACCATAAAATTAATTATACTCCTACGCCTCCTGTTAGTCCAAACATCTGACATAATAGAGCAATCATGTGTTACCTATGATCAAGGTTCGCAATACCGTACCGTACCGGAGTTTCGACCTAGGCTCGGTACCGGTACGGTACGGTATACCGCTCGGTACACCCAGGTGTACCGAGCAGTATATTCAGGCGTGCCGAGCACTGTAGCAGTGCTACAGTGCTACAGTACTACTACAGTACCGGACCGGTAACATGCGGTCCGCGTACCGGAAGCCTGTCGGACCGGTACTGCAAACCATGCCTATGATTCTTTATGACCCTTTAGTAAGTCATTTATATAATTTAACTCTTTTTGCAACAATGAAACTCGTATCTCATAATAACTTGGAGGTTTTAATCCCGCACCATATCTTCCAATAGCTTCAATCATTTTTTTAAAACTGTCTAAACGAGTTGTACTAAGGGGAAGACCAGCCTGATAAAAGAAGCGAGCAATGTGCTGAATTGTTCTTCCTCTTATTTCTTTATCACAAGCATCACTTATATTTGTTTGTCTAAATTTTGAGCCTCCTGCTTGCCTTTGTTGCTTTTGTAATCCTTGAAACATATATAGATTCATCGGTCCTTTTTTACCCTTCTTAGTACTCATAACTTCTTTTCCTTTTTTATCGTATACTTTTTTCCCACTTAGGTTAATACTCATAGAATAATCTTCTTCTTCATCCCTGAGATGTTCAAAAATGTCTTTTGGTAAATTCCCGTAAGATTCATTCTTTTGCGTCTTCTTTTCATTCATATAACTCAGCAACTCTTCTTTTACCTCAAGTGGACACTTTTTGCAAGCTGCTGCATTCTTGAAATTTCTTACTAGATGTTGTTTTGCACGAAAAATACCACCTCTAGTAGTCTTATCGCAAAACATGCAAGTCACTGCATTAGAATCTTTCGGATCCTTTAGATAATTATACTTCTATGCATGATCTTTTTTTGATGTCATTGGAGACTCTATTGAGTTGCTCTGTACACTTGCCATTTATCCTGAAACCTAAGAATAATTTCAAATAAATAAAAATTAATAGTATTAAAATTAAAATAATATATTATTAATCTAATAAATACAAATACTATTACTAGTATACAGTTAATAGTATACTGTATACTGTTAATAGTATACTATCGAAAGAGAAGAGAAGAGTGTAAGGGAAGACCGAGGGTGTTGACTGAGAAAAGCGAGAGCGGGAACGGCGAGCAACGACAGTGGCAGCGACAACGGTAGCAACGAGCAGCGGGAGTGAGAGCGGCGAGCGGCGACAGTGGCAGCGGCAGCGGTAGAAGCGAGCAGCAGCAGTGACAGTGAGAGTGGCAAGCGACGATAGTGGCAGCGGCAGCAGCGAGCAAGGTTATGGTTGGGGAAGTCGCGTTGATATCAGTGCTTTAATTGGTTCGATTGAACCAACTAAAGCACCGGAGACCGAACAAGACCTAAAACGCTGGTTCAGTCACTTGGTTTAACCCAAGCGCTCGCCCGAAGCGCCCGGCGCCTGGGCTCGGGCGAGCGCTCAGGCGACGCCTCTTTGAACAACAAATATTGCATTTCCTTAACCTCTCCTTAACAAGTTTCAAGAAATAGATCTAGAGTCTATTTTGTATGAGGAAATCAAAAGTTTCATGAAGGTATATGTAACACCCCAATTTAATCTCATGTCCGCCCGGTTGTGATCATATAGGAAACCATAATACGCATAGATATTAGTATATGATAAGCTTCAGAAGTTCAAATATATCAACTTATCAAGAAGGATATTAAGGCAATAAACAAAGAAGCAGTACCTGCAGATGAGAACAAATGAACTTGAACAAGCAACTGTGTCAAAAAAGAAAAGAAAACATAATTAAGGGCCCAGATCAGATGATGAACTTGTATATATATCACAACATGACTAACCTTTTTAGATAAAACATATAAAGAGCCACCACTGGGAGATGATACTGCACAATTCCTACAGATAAGTGTATTTAAAAAGCTTAAGAACAAAAAAAACTAAGGTACCAAAATTTTAATGTTCATTGCAATGCTTTCCTTTATAACCAAACATTTTAAAGTATATAATGAAGAATGAACTAACTACTAAGATCGTTGAAAATTGCAAATAATGTCTCTCTAGAAAGGAACACAACACTAATAAGCCAATACGCATCAGTGTTTGATTGTCATTTCAAGTACCGAACCTGTTTCGATGAACTGGCCGGACTGGTATATATAGTTACCAGTGTGTTGTGTGTTCGTACACCAGCATTTCGGAGAGAAAGAAAAAGAAGAAGAAGAAGAGGAAGGGGGTGGAGGAAGAAGAGAAAGAGGAAGGAAGAAGGAGAGGCACTGAAGGAAGAGGAGGAAGAAGAGGAAGTGGTGGAGGAGGAAGAAGACGAAGGAAGAAGAAGTGTTGGAGTCAAGGAGAAGGAAGAAGAGGAGGAGGAGAATAAGAGGTGGGACCGTGGGAGTACACCTAGGAGATAGATACTGGCGAATGGCAGCAACGACAACATCGAGCAGTGTGACGACGTAGAACAGCAACAGCATCACAAGATGATGGAAGCGGTGAGAAGAACGCTCGAAAAGTAGCAATGGCATCAGCATTGCAACACAAGGAGTCGTGCTAGTGAGCCCTAGTTGATATTTTAGGGTTTTTTTATTAATTACGGAGTTGGACGGCCCATCATTGTTTTAGATTTCATTTTTATTATTACATGAGTTGGACCGAAATGCCCGAAACGAGGGTGGTCGGCATACCAATCCATGCCCGGACCAAGTACATACCGCCCATTTCATACCATTTTGAGTGGTCCTTGATTATGTGAACTAACCACAATGGTAAAAATCAAGGCGTAGATCTCAATTAATTGGGGTGAGCCACATGGCTTTTCTCTAACCATTGATCTTTGTTTAAATGTGGTTAACATGCTCAAACTCAATAGCCACAAAAATCCTTTTCCCTATTGTTGCCAATGAAGATATCTCCTCTACCTCTCCTTAAACCACTCATTTGCACTAACTCACCTCCCTTTATTAGTGAATCTACATGTCCTTTGGCCATGTCTAAGATACCATTAAGACTTCCTTCAAGATATTTTATATCAGTACCGCCCCTAATTTTTAACAAATGCAAATTTATCTTGTTCAACCACCTTTTGCTAAACAAGTTTTTTTGTTTCTATAATACCACATATCTATACATATACATATCACAATTTACAACATTCACATCCCTATGACACTAACACTTTCGATATGTTTGTTTCATTCTCCCAAATATTCTTGCATGCAAACCATACCCACACAACTTTCTTAATCTAAGGAACACTAAACAAACACAACATCACATATTACCCTATCTACCTCAATCATTCCACTTCAGTTCTATAAGCAATATTTGCTTACAATTCCATTCAGATCAATAACGGTCTCATTAACTATTTCATAAAGGTAACAGCTTCTTTGCTTTGAGGGATAAAAATACCTACAAACTAGCAGAAATGAATATATTATGCTAAACTAACTATCATTATTGCAAGAAAGAAAGATCTCACATGTGCAAGAAACTTACAGGCTCTCAAGTTTGTAATTAAGCGAACTTCTGTGAAAAAACAAAAGGTCCATTTAGAAAATTTCATCACAATAAAAGAGATCATACAAGAACTAGCCCATACGTATGTATATCAAAAATAGAACTCTAAAGCATCAAGAAGATTTAAAATGACCATAAAACATCATATCGTAATCAAGATCATGGTTTAACGTTCCGCCTGATGTGGTAGCAATATGTATCGGTTCTTCAGCTGACTCATTCATGAACCAATCCACTTCGGATGGTACATTGTTAGGGGGACAGACCAGGTGGTACACCTCTTGTAGCACTCGACATAGTCGAAAATTGACCATTACCAATTGATAGCGATCGATAATAGTCGAATTTCATCCATATTGGTCTCCTCTCGGGTCAAACAGGGTCCCAACGATCAAATCGATCATTAAGTCCTGTTTTGACCCTTTAAATCCTCCTCAATCTCATTCTCACTCATTCAATTTTTCATCCAAAATTTTATATTCATTTATGGCTTAGATACACTTTATTCTTATCAAAATATGAATTATATACCAACAAATTAGAAGAGAAAATTCCAAAAATATGTCTGTTTTAATTTCAAGCTATTTTTCGGCCCTTTTTTCGAAGTTCTGGTATGTACCAGCAATCGATACAGACGACCGACATGAGACGGCATTCCTTGATCAAGTTAATCAAGTAAGAAAATAGGTAGCCTCCGTACCACCCATGGAAGCAATAATGGCATCATTTTCACATCTTACATCGGGCCATTTCTACATCTTTGGAAGAGACTTGACTAGGTATGAACAACCTTGTCGGTATTTTAGAAGCCACATCCCAAGGCAATCATCAGATATCATTGGTAATTGGTTAGGAAAAGATAGAATGCCTATTGCCTATAACTTTAAAAGGACCAAAATTACCCTCAATGAAAAGCTCATTAAAGTAGACACATTAGTGACTAACTGTCACTAACTATTTGTGCCACATAGCTGTGGTCTGCCAAGCAATCCTGCAACCCTTAACAAATAAATAAACTATTCTGTCCATTTCAGTAGGCAATATATGATGCTCTCTCAATGTGCACAAAAGGGTTTTCACAAGAAAATTTTCCAAGTAACAATCAAGTAAAACTATAGTTTGTTCAATAGCAAACATTATGTTAAAGAAAATGCAACATAGCTATCAAGAGATTATCTACATTATTCAAGTTTTAAAAAATATATAGTAGATAAGGCCACGTGATATTAATAAAGAAGGTAAGTATAGTATAATGGATGAATGTGCATACCTTGAATATTTACTACTACCAATACCAAAAAGAGAAGCACTTCGTGCCCGTGACAAACTACAAATGAAACAGTGGAAACAAAAAGCAACAAATAGTTAGGAATTTACGTAAGTAAGCTAAGGACAAAACAGTTACATAAGAAGACCAATTTAAATGGCTCCATTGATCAAGAGAAGTACTGTTAAGAACAAAATGCTTAAATACATATGAAGAAAAGAAAACCTTTATCACAAACATATATACATAATAACTTTGGCTGCCATATCTTTTGTACAAGTGCATTTACCAAGCAAAAATAAGAAACAAGGACATGAATGATAACACAGATATTAATATTATGAAGAATAAGAGTGATATGAAAAATAAATGATGAAAAAATCCAATAAAACATTGAAGGATTTAAGCAATATCAACAGATAAACAAATCTTGCCTCAAGCATGATAATGAAACATATCCTCTTTAAACTTGAATTTCAGCCAACTGCCAAATTATCTCCAAAAAAAGTGCTGAACCAACTAGCACTATCCTAATTATCAATTTTGATTTTTCATTCTAAAGCCTCGAGCTTTAGTCAACACACAAATATGGACAATCCATAATTTATTAAAAACAGCCACTCGATCTAGAAATTTGGGCTACATGGAGACTACACCAGATTGCACACCAAGGATGAACTACGCTCCTAATTATCTAAATATCAAGCTATATACAGGTTTGAAGAACCAAATTTAACCAAACTCGAAGCTGATTGACTAACTCTTTCAGTGGTACAAGTACATGGGAATTTATCAACTTGGTGCTGAATTCAGAATAATTCTCTGCTCCTAAATGCAACAAAATCACTCCAACATAAAATATGCAAAATGTTAACCACATTGTAGTTGACCTTCTAATCATAAGAAAACAATGATGCATAAATTTTACTATATGTTACTTCGTCCTCATAAATGTTAAATCCAGCTATATATGCACCCTTTATTTTTTCAGTGGCCAAAACTTAATCAATTCCTATGGCAACCTGTCGGAGATGAAATCAAAAACTAAGCTTATCTTCCTACCATCTTAATAAATCAAAATTTAACTTACCAACTAGACCAGCCAAAAAAACAACATCGACAAGAACTGCAACTCGTCCCAATCCACTTCTAAAAAGGAGATGCCAAGCCATCTCCAAATTGCATCATTAGTGAATATTCGCTTTCAATTTAAATCACATGCAAAGAGGCTCTAAAGAGGATTTCAAAATTCTCTTCCATTTAGGTATTCCGCTTTTTGCCCTTCAAGATGTAGTTGGAATATGACAAATAGGGACCTTGACATCCCTTAATTTCTGTAATTTCTCTTGCACCATATGTTACCACTTCAAGATCCATAAAACGAAGACTCATAACACCAACTGAATCACTCTAGACAAACAAAACTTGCGAGTTTCACATGCCTACAAGAGGTCATAAATCAAAGCATGAAACGCCATAGAAAGAGTTTACTATTGATTATTAATACAAATACAATTGTCAATGATGAAAAGAAAAAAGTGAGATTGAATGTCACCTACCCCAAGAGAAGTGAACGAAAATTTGCCATGAGCTTTTCTTGGAGGATGTTGAGTCCTCTTCTACCTAAAAGAACAAAATCAGACGCAGATGATGATTAAAAAACGAGGAGACAGATGCCAAGTGCTCCATGTGCTCGATTCATTAATGGTTACAGTTGCGGGAGGATAAAAATTATCGAGCAATATGAAATAGCAACTAAGATTCTAGTAGAGACATGATTATCAAATGTCAAACACTCAGTACTTGTGAGATCCATACGATATATAGCAAACAACAGGATTGAAGGCGTTACAAAATTACAAGGGGAATCCTACAGGGTATTCGAACAGGGAAACCAAATCTAACTTGTGAAATCGACGAAGCCAATAGGTAGTATGAGCAAAATCAAACGAAATCGGTAACAGTACCATTAAAGATTGGAGCACAAACGAACCCTAGATTCATGAAGGCCAATAGGAACACAAAGTTTAGAAACGAGGATAGAACTCGATGAGAAACATGGGAACAAATTTGCAAGAAGCTGGAGGGTGGAGAGGGAACAAAGACTCAGAACAACCTTTTTTGGAATTGCAAGGAGAGAAAAGGCTAAGGCGGCGGGGCAGCGGATGGAGCGGCCGGCTCCGCGTGGGGAGGAACCCTGGCGACGGATGAGAGATCGGTGGCGGGGTAGATCAAGTGCGGAGGATAGGATCGCCGCGGCGGAGGAAATCGAGCGGAAAGAAGGAACGTTGACCGGTAATTGTCTCGTGGGCACCTCGTCGCGAGTGCAAACGCAACGGAGGGGGTTGGGGGGGAGTTTGAGAAGAGGCGTCGAGTGGGGTTTGCAAATGCTCACTAATTCGTTTCCTTCAAGACGAAAAGAATTATCAGATTTCATGAACAACAATAAAAAGTTTACTTATAAGTGATTCAACAAAATATAAAACTTTTTTTTTAGTACAAACTAAATAAATTTATTTTATGTAAATAAAACTATTCTCGATGTCGAGTGGGAGAACGACTGCAGCAGCCCAACTCGAATCGGATTACCTAACGTGCTTTCCGATAAGGCATGTTTTGCCCTCATGACACATCATGTCACATGTCATGTCAGAACTCGTACCCCCAAGACTATTCGACATGCTTGGTCTCGACAATCTCGGGACGGTAACATCCCGCACATCGAGCCAGAATCCGTACTGATATCGTGATGTGTCCATCACGCTAATCCACGTACAACCGACCCTCTCACGACAGTATAAAAACCTCTATCCCGGCCTCCAAAAAAGGGGAGAGACTATGGACTTGCTCATCGAAGGGGCCATGGTCGGGTACCACCCGACGGAGGCCATTTTGTAGAAGGGCTACCACTCATCGACTGTAAGGGACTCGACACGGGAGCGCGACTCGCCCGGAACCAAGGAGTCGCCAATCAGTCCCGACCCCGACCAACGCCAACCAGCACTCCTTCCCGAGAGCTCGGGTACCTCATCCTCTGAATCATCCTACAAAAAGCTCCCAACATCAGCCCGTGGACCTAGTCGTGCTGACTCCCCAATCACGACACATTTGTTCACTAAGATTTTGGCGTTAGAAGGAGGGTCATGTCACAGGAGCATCCCGCGGGAGCTCTCCCCGAGGGAGAACCACCGGCCGGTCACCCTTCTATCAGGCCCGGAGATCAGCCCCTCCCCGTCCTTCGAGATGGGGGGGATCTCGGCCTCGACGCCGGATCGCTACTAGTGCCCGTTCAACGACCCGAGGTTATCACATCCCGGACTTACCACGGGACCCTCGGTCGTGTCACCCGAGGCGTTCCTCGGTTTGACCAAGCAAGTGCAAGCAATGACAGGGATGATGCAGATGCTCATCCCACTCATTCCTCGGAGCGTGCGGCTAGTAGCTCTCCCGACCGACCCAACCCGACAAAGACTGAGCAGGGAGTAGGTCGGGATGGGAGAAGTCCGAGACCAAACCACGGACCCGAGAGGTCCACCCGAGCAGAGCATACTCGCACCCTATCGAATCACACTGACCCACTCTGAGCCTGCCACCATATCGTTCGACTCGCCGGATGACTCATTCAGAATCCAACTGTCCTGGGTCAACCAATTCCTGGACGAGTTCCAACGCAAGTTCCAGAAGTTACGGAGCGAGTCGAACGAAGGCGACTTGGGTGACTCCCCTTTTACTCAGGAAATACAGGACAAGCCCGTACCCCTCAACTTCAGGCTGCCGGCATTGGAGACATATGATGGTGGCTTTGACCCCGCGGACCATGTCGCGGCGTTTCGGGCTTAGATGACCCTCTACGGCACCTCGGACGCCCTGATGTGTTGGGCGTTCCCGACCACCTTCAGAGGACCAGTACGAACATGGTTCAACCGACTGCGCCCACTCTCAGTCTCATCCTTCGACCAGCTCATAAGGGAGTTCGAGCAAAACTTCCTCACCAGTGTGTGACCCAAACCTTCCATCGCCACCCTGCTGGCATTATCTCAACACGAGGGCGAATCGCTCTCCCAATTCGTGGTGTGCTTTGCCGCGGAAATCCGAGGATTCCTGGACGCTCACCCTTCTGTAACCATGCAAGCATTCCTGAGGGGCTTGAGGCCCTCGAGGCTCTTTGGGTCACTCATCGAGAAGCCACATATGACCATCCCTGAGATGCTCCAGCGCGCCAATCAGTACATCGCTGCTGAAGCCCTAATGGCAAGAAGGCGCGAGGACAATAAGAGGCCGAGGATGGAGCAAGTCCGAGGAGCGGCTCCGGTGCCCCCATCGCAAGCTTGCAGGAGGCCCGATCGGCCCGAGTCAGAACCTAAGTTTGCCCAGTCAACACGCCACATGGTGCGATGGCACCGGTCATGACAAAGGGTCTCCCGCCGGTAGACCTAAGCCCGAGATCAACTACTCGACCAACGAGACCGGTCTCCTCTCGAGCCACACAGCTCGGTCCCCTGACCAGCGATTGGCCATTATCATCCTGGCATGATACCACCCCTCGAGGACCAGCCGCCACACCGGCACTACTTATGCCCGAGTCGCTCCATGTTGATCCTCGACTTGCGACTCGTCGGCCTAGCTCTGCACGAGTCGCTCCAGATTGATCCCCGACTTGCCACTCGTCGGCCCTGCTTCTGCCCGAGTCACTCTATGTCGATCCCCAACTTGCAACTCGCCGACCCAGCTTCTGCCCAAGTCGCTCCATGTCGATCCCTCACTTGCGACTCGCCGGCCTAGCTTCTGCCCGAGTCGCTCCATGTCGATCCCCGACTTGCGACTCGTCGGCCCTGCTTCTGCCCGAGTCGCTCCATGTTGGTCCCCGACTTGTGACTCATCGGCCCAACTCTTGCCCGAATCACTCTAGATCGATCCCTGACTTGCGACTTGTCGGCCTAGTTTCTGCCCGAGTCGCTCCGTGTCGATCCCCGACTTGCGACTCGCCGGCCTAGCTTCTGCCCGAGTCGCTCCAT